ACCATGAGACGCTTATTATGTGTCTTACCTTAAAAATCGTTCTCATAATCAAATCGTGTTCTTCTAATTCTTCTGAGGTTAATCCAAGGTGCACAGACCAAACACTTCCAAACTCGACGAAAAGCAGAGCAGGACTGAAGACGCTGATGCTTTGTTTAGAGGTGATGAGGGCGTTGGGTTCCTTCATGTGGATCATTTGAATTTGAACAGCTCGCGCGCGTGTGGGTGTGGTCACATTAGAGTCAATGAGCTCGGGCTGAAGAAACTGTACATGTCCTAGCTTTCATACGGATTACTTAAACAGAGAATATTTGTTTTTGGCATGATTTACATCATTTAAAAATGGAGACTTAAAGCTTTGTAAAGACATAACTCTCACGTGTGGGTGCAAGTATTTGCTGAGTTAAAGATCATTTTCTGTCACGTTTCAGAATGAACTTCACATTGAGAGAGACGACAGAACACGCATCATGTTTATTTTCTTTATTTTACGAAAAACACAACATTTTGTTTTTATTATTAGTGTACACAAATAAAAGTAGACATTTAACAGTTTTGAATGATGTATAACACTTGCCTGTATCACACAAATCAAAAGCGTTATTTGAGTCTCCTTTCCACTGATAAGAAAAAAAGTGAGCTGGTATCGCCGGCGAGACCGCCGACCCCAGGAGGTTAAAGACATGGATGAGCGAGTTTGGTTGGGAGGAACTTGACTGGCCCGCACGGAGTCCTGACCTCAGCCTGATAGAACAGCTTTGGGTTGAATTAGAGTAGAGAGTGGAGATAGGCCTTCTCGTCCAATGTCCCATTCCAAAAATTCTCATAAACTCACTCCTAAACCTTGTGGAAAGTCTTCCCAGAGGAGTTGAAGCTGTTATAGCTGCAAAGGGCGGGCCAACTCCATATTAAACCCTACGGATTAAGAATAGGATGTCATTAAAGTTCATGTGCATGTAAAGGCACACATCCCAAAACTTTTGGCAATATAGTGCATCATTAGGTAACATGGCATTAACTTTCATTATTACATGGCTTGGTAGAATTCCAATGTAGAATTTTTTCTTGATAACAGACGCTGCTAAGTATAACACACCGTTGCCATGAAAAACAGAGCGTTGCTGAAAAGAGCGTCTGAAAAATGGACGCAGTTCAGAGACGGAACGGACTATTTTCTTTAGCGGAAGCAGTACAATTGTTTTAAAATCAATAAATCAATAAACTCCTTTTTAAATCAATATTTTGAGTCAAATTATTGATTTATATGATAGAGGCTGACATTTTTTCGGGAATCCCGCGGGATGGGAAACAAAATCACTATGTATCACGGGATTGGGATGGGAAAGGAAAAAATGTCAGCGGGAGTGGGCGGGACCGGGAATCGTAATAAAACTATGATACCCAACTTTATACACAAATATACAGTTTCTATAAAAAAACTCTATATTTAAATTTTGAACTAAATTCTATTTGCCCCGTCTCTTTATGCTGTCCTGTTTGCTTTGGTGTGGCTGGTATAGTGAATGACGTGCTCCACAGTGAGCGGCGCTTGAGCAGCGCGTCAGCGTAACTACATCGTCAATGCAGCTGCAGACGCGCGAGAGTGTTCACACTGGAAGCGTTTGTACAGTGTCACAGCAGCGGCTCCAAAGCTACATAAGCGAGCAATTCTTTACAAAGAAGTTTTAGAAGTTGGTAATTTATAAAATTGATAGTCTTGAAAGTTTGTTAAGGGGAGGTGTACAACATTCGCATATAAATGTCAAACAAAACAACCCAGAAAACAGCTCCAATTTATTCGTTTCAGTCATACTTTCGATATGTTTACAAGACTACAAAACACACACACACAAAAACGCACACTTTGGTTTAATTTGGGTTGTAGCTGTCTGTGTTACATAAACTAAAAGAAAGTTTATATATAATATTTTCTGGCTAGTTTACTTTAGTTTTTTTATATATATATAATACATCATAAAAAAAAAATAAAAAAAAAAAAAAAATATATATATATATATATATATATATAATAAATATAATACACCATTATATTTATTTTAAATATAATATATATTTATATAATATATATTCACCCAAACTGAATAATTAAGTTTAAACAGCCTAATCTTCTATAGGCCTAACTATTTTTTAGTCTTCATTTTCTTTTTTTGCCTTCTCAAGTTCTTGTTAAAACTCACTAGACATGCTTATTCTGTGCATTTTGGGCACTTTTTGTGTGAAATTTTGTCTATCAGAGAGGAGCTTCAGTGTTGCTGGAAGATTAATTGAGGAAAGGCGCACCAGCCTCAGTCCGGAATGTGTGGACACACTCTTGTTCTTACATAGCAACAGTGAGACCCATTCTTAAAGGAAACTCAATCTCAAGAAGGAAATCTTAGTTCAAGAAGGAAATTTGGTTTTTGTTTAAATTTTGTTCTTTCAGTTCAATAAAGTAACAAACTGTGCTATGCTCATATCTGAACTGTAGTTTTTTTTACTGCAACTGACAGATTCCGGTAAAAAAAACACGGGAGTGGGAGGGAATAGGAGTCATTCTTCTGGGATTGGGACGGGACAGGATTTTTTTTGTGGGAGTGGAACGGGAGAGGTTTGAAAATCCACTCCCGTGTCACCCTAAGCGGGATAATGTATAGCGAGGCGGTTGTTATAGCGAATACCACCCCTTGAGGCTGATTAAGATCCCTCCGCTTCGCGTTGTGTTCCTAGTCAGCCTGTCGGGGTGGTATTCGCTACAACAACCGCCTTGCTATACATTATCCTTTACCTATTATGATGATGACTCTCAGCTTTATAATTATTTTAGCCCTGACGAAACATACCAATTCACAAAATAAACTAAATGCAGGGTTGATATAAAAAAAATCAGAGGACTAGTAATTTTCTACTAATTGATTGTGGGGGGAAAAACTGAGGTTTTAATTATTGGACCAAAATCCTCAGGATGTAATAACCTGTAATAACCTAAAAAACAAAATCCCAGATTTTTTCACAAAAAATACGATTTATGATTTAAATCTTAAAATTTTTTCCCCTACTTTAAATCCATCTGCAGATAACAAAGAAATTGTTCAAAACAAGTTTTAACTTTTTTTTTTTTATATTCCCTTCTGGGATTTGTATCTGGATTTCCCCCTTGGAGTTAAAGTGCAATCATATACAACCAGTGCTCGAAGTGGGGCGGTACTCACCGGTACGCAGTACCAGCACTTCTACATTTTACTCTTAAGCGTACCTGCACTTTTTCTTGCATACCGCTACTTCTCGCATGTAGCCGGTACTCTATACCACTGACAGAAAAAGCGTGACGACCGTTTAACCCCTTATTTACACTGCACACATCTGCGGCGCGTTACGGATGCGAAACGGCTACCGGAGCTGATCGCGGCCACCGCAAGCGTGAGCAGCGCGTATTTTTTCCGTTAATCAATGAGTGCATTCACACCGCGAGGAAGAGCGTCGCGTGAGCAGCAGTGAAACTGGGGTTCGGCGCCGAGTCTATTTTTGTTGTGCTCACGCTCATTTAAAGTGAAAGCACACTTTTGATGGAGCAAATAAATATGATTTCACACAAAAAGTGCCCAAAATGCACAGAATTTGCATGTCTAGTGTGTTTCCCAAATCAAACCCGAGTGTACTTTTTTTTTAATGTTTGCTGTCTTGTACACATATCGAAGTATGACTGAAAAGACAATATCAGAGCTGTTTTCTTGGTTGTTTTTGTTGTTTACCATTTACATGCAATTGTTGTATACTTCTCATCTTAACAAACTTCAAGAATCAAGTTTATTAATGACCAACTTCTAAAAAAAAGAGAAAGTTTCTTTGTAAAGTAATGTCAATTTTATTTATATAGCACCATTAATCCCAACCGAGGTTGTACAATGTGTCACCGGGTGACTAAGCCGGAACTAAAATTCGGTGCATAGTCCCCCGGAGCACTTCCGGTGTAACATCAGGCCGGTTCCGGTTTGCCGTCATGGCCGATCTAACGGGAAAACGCGGAGAAATTGTTTACAGCTGAATGAAATGAGAGTTGATTACGGTGGCGAGCGAGAGTGTGTGTTTGCAGAGGATATAAATGGAGCAGTTGAAGGAAGAGGAGACAAGGAAAAAGTGAGAAAGAAAAGCGGCGAAGTACGGGGAGTGGAGGGACTGGCCAGGGGTGGGCGGACGGGCGAGGGAGAGGATTGTCCCCGTGAGTGTGAGGACCGACATTTGTGAGGAGTCGAGTACCCAATTTCAGCTTGCTGTACACACATTGTGAAGATCGTCTTTTATGAAGAGTTAAGTACCCAATTTCAGCTTGCTGTGCAAACATTGTGATTGAGTTGATGAAGGCATTATGAAGATCGCCCTTTACGAAGAGTTAAGTACCCAATTCCAGCTTTCTGTACTAACATTGTGATTGAGTTCATGGAGGCCGTGTGACCGATTAGAAGATCTGTCCATGTTCGCTGTTCTATTCTCATGAGGTTGAAGCTGGTGATGGGAAGGCACGTTTGTGTTCCTGAATATCCCCCCTGTGCAGCCGCCTCATCATTGCACTTTCTCCCCCCCTTCGGTTGGAACCAGAGCAGCAGTTTGGATGATCCAGGCTGAATGGAGGGAAGGCTTAAACCCACTGTGAGGTATTTGTGGAATTGCAGTGCTTACAAGTTGAAGTGTGCACGTGTGAATTGTGGAGGGATTGCTGTATACACAAGTGTGAAGAAGATTTAACCATTCCGTTCGCTCCAATATTTCCTGGGATCGTCCAGCCCGTGTGGGGTGGGGAAGTTTATAGTCCAGCTGTATAGATGTGTGCAGGTGCCGATTGACTCATCTTCAGGAACCGAGAAAGCCAGTCACTCACGCTGCCCAGGACTCACCGACCTCGAAGACCGCCACTTCCTGAGTTCCTCACGAGTCCAAAGCTCCTCTACTGCAGGTACTTCACCTCTATTGCTGTGTTACAGGAACCGAGAAAGCCAGTCACTCACCTAAAGGTCCCCTTGCCTGAGCTCCCGAGTTCCACTGCCGTCTGGAAGGAGTAGGAAACGCCGGTCCTCACGTTGTATGGAGTTGCTCTTCTGGAGACACTTGTAGCCCGTCTTGAGCTCCACCGTGATCCTAAGGAAACAAGAGAAGTCTGTTACTTATCCACTTCGAGTCACTCACCTGAAGGTCCCCTTGCCTGAGCTCCTGAGATCCACTGCCGTCTGGAAGAGTGGAATGAGTTTAGCCGTCCAGGCGGACGCCCTGTTAACCCTGTTTTAATATTTAATAAAGACCAATTACTTACTGTACCTTGTGTCCAGCCTCGTGGTGTTCCTGGTGTAGCTCCTCAGAGTGGTAGTTGGTACGGGTCGTGGTTTCTCCCCACCCCCGGTCTGTGACATACAATGTGCTGCACATACTGTTGTAGACATAATAAGACAATACAATACAATTTAAAATAAAAAAATAAAAAACGTACAATACACTTCCTCATTGAATATAAGCCAATTCAAAAAGATGCGTTTTTAGCTTAGATTTAAAAACAGACAAAGATGATGCAGAGCGAATACACAAAGGTAGAGCATTCCACAGCCTGGGGGCAGCTACTGAAAAAGCCCGGTCACCCCTGCACCTCAGCTTCGACTTTGGAACACATAACAATCTCTGGTTAGAAGACCGGAGAGACCGAACTGGACGATATTCAGTTAGTAATTACGAGAGGTAAGGAGGGGCCAGACCGTTTAATGATTTAAACACCAAAAGAAGAATTTTAAAATTCACTCGGTGACGCACGGGCAACCAGTGCAGAGAACGTAATACTGGAGTAATGTGGTCTCGTTTTTTAGTCCTGGTTAAAAGTCTTGCAGCTGCATTTTGAACTCTCTGTAACCGCGAAAAAGCTGACTGGCTAATCCCAAAATATAGTGAGTTACAGTAATCCAATCTCGAAGTAATAAAAGCATGAATTAATTGTTCAAAAAAATTTCTTGACAGAATAGGTTTTACTTTAGCTAGAAGTCGAAGCTGAAAGAAACATGATTTGACCACTCTATTGATATGTTTGTCAAATTTCAGCCCATCATCAAAGACAACCCTTAGATTTTTACCCAAGGCTTCACAGACGAGGATAACTCACCAAAATTAAATTTTGGTGTACTAACAGAGTCAGAAGGACCAAACACTATTATCTCAGTTTTACTCTGATTAAAATTAAGAAAATTTAAAGACAGCCAGGCCTTCACATCAGCCAAACAGGTCAAAAGTGCTTCCAGACCATTAGAACTCTTTTTTAAGGGCAGATAGATTTGAGTATTATCTGCATAGCAATGAAATTACAGACCATGTTTACTAAAAATAGAACCCAATGGTAGCATATACAAAGAAAAAAGAATCGGAGCTAAGATGGAACCCTGAGGAACACCACATACCAGAGGAGCTGCCTCAGATGAATGTTCACCCATGATAACATTAAAACTTCTATTTGAAAGATATGATTTAAACCATTCAAGAGCACTTCCTTTTATGCCTGCGCAGTGCTCCAAGCAAGTAAGAAGGACAGCATGGTCAACAGTGTCAAACGCAGCAGTCAAATCTAGGAGCACAAGCACAGCATAGTCCCCAGAGTCACCAGTAAGTAGAATATCATTTAAGACCTTCAAGAGTGCTGTCTCTGTAGAATGGTATTTTCTAAAACCTAAAGAAATGCATGCACACACGCACGCACACACACGACTTGTTTAAATACATTTATGTTGTTAATAAATAACAATAAATTGTTGTTATACCAGCAATACAGAGCCCTGTCAGCTGGTATTATTATTAAAGGTTAAAAATAACATCTAAAATGAACTATAATGCGTTTATATAATAACAACGTTATAATATTTTTATGATAAAGGTACAAATATAATAAATATGTAATATAGTTATCATATTTAGAATAAAACTCCTCTCTCTAGCTAATTTTCCAAAAAAGACCAACTAATGTCCTATGGTCATTAAATGGCTTTCCTGAGGTAAATGTAACATTACGTCACATATTGTTCTACGGCTGTTTTATCGACCTGATTGAAAAACACTGATCGATCGGTTTTATTACATTTTGGTAGGTTGAACTGTATCTTTCAAATGATACAAGGAGTTTGGAATGTGATTGATTGATTTAGTTACTTCTAATACAATTTTCAAGTTGAACGGGATAAACATTATATTAAGCATAAAGATAAGCTATGGTATATAATTCCAAATCTTATCTTTGAAAAAGTTGGTGGTATAGAGTAAGAGGTATAGAGAATAAAATGTGACTTTGAGGTTAAACTCACCATTCAGTTGTCCAATTTTCATAGACGGGCTCTTTTATGTAGTGATGGGCAGATCGAGGCTTCGTGAAACACTGAAACGGTTGAATCAAATGTGCCATATTGTGTCGAGGCTTCGAAACAATCTGACACCCGTCTCCACGGTGGCCCTAGTGGTCAGAACAGTGTAAATGCAACAAAAACCCAGTGCAAACATGCATACAAACACCTTGTTGACAAAAATAAACATTAATCAAAATGTGTCATTCCCATCAACAATGCCTCAATGAAGACACTGTGACCTTTATAGTGGCCACTTTGTGTAGCGTACTACAGAGTAATTCATGACTCTTAAAATGCACCAGAATACAAGAAATCCCATCTGAATTTAAACATTTTTCTGAGGGTGGACTTGGGACCTCACTTCACTCTTTTGCCTAGGGCCCCCAAATATCTTGAAACGGCCCTGCTCATGATTCATGGGTTGACAGAGATCATCGCCCCCACGGTGAACCATTGAAATGTCGAAGTGTTTCGAAAGTTATGAGGTAATGAAGCCTTGTTTACTGAAATCATGTGGCAGTTTGATACACGCTCCGAAACATTGACTCGGAACAAAAGATTCATAAAGGCTTCGAAGCGTCATGAAACAGTGTTTTGAAATTGCCATCACTACTTTTATGTTGGCTTCTTATATACAAACATAATTTAGGCATCAGTAAATCTCATAAGCAATCAATGTTTAAAAATAGGTCTTGTTAAATGGTGTTGATATTACAGATAAAGCAAATGTAATAATACAGTTTTCAGACGTTTGATTCATTGCCCTGCAACATTTCATAATAAATACTTTTAGAATAACCATTTTGAGAATATTAATTGGAGATTGATTTGGATTTATAACAAATACTGTATCAATAATAAAGTTAATGAAATATACTTTAAAATTATACATTAAATTTATCCAACAAAATAGTTCCTAAAAAGATAAGAGAATCTTGTGTATTTTGTAAAATGGATACTTTTTTTTTGTGTGGAATATATGCATGTTAAATTCTTTTACATTGATGTGGAATATTTATTAAATATGTTAAGTGGAATTACAATTAATATAGAGAAAATATGTTTTTCTCTATACCGCAACCTTACAAGCGATCAGAACTATGGACATTTACAAATAGTTAAATTCCTCTTTGTTATTTTGACTGGCCCTTTATACTGTGAACGGTTGCATACGGAGACTCTTTTGGTTGTTTTACCTTTAGTTCTTTTATGGGCAACAGTACTGTTGATTATTTCATTACAGATATTATCCCAGTACATCTCAGAGCATTCACAATCAGTGTCAGACCACTGTAAAATTACACTATATCTAAAACAAACTCACATTAATGAATCATGCAAATTCAAAAAGTCAAACTATCAAATTATTATGGACACATGTATAATTAACACATACCCATTAAATGAAATAGGCATATCTGGCACTAAGTGACATTATCAACATATTCCACCAATCAGCATGTACAATTTGAAAAAAATTATCAAAAAAGGAAACCAAAAAACACCAATGAAATGTGGTTTGACAGTGAGTGCAAAAGTATTTGAACAACAGTACGAAATCTTTCTGATCAAAAACAGAGATCCTGACAATGAAGAACTCCGCCATCAATATCAAGAAGCTCTTGTCATAGACAACAGACAGGAGAGCACATGGCACAAAGGAAACACATGACAAGCCATGTGCTCACAATAAACAGAACTAGAACACAAGCACATGACAAACCGGGAATGTCAGAGCTCTGTCACCCACCCACTAAGATAAAACCAAACAGAAGTGACAGAACCCTGACAAATACGCAGGCCACAAGAAGTCTTTTTTTTTTATCACTTTTACTCACGACATGCTATCCGGCTACAAAGGATTCCATTTATTATGTTAAGCTAAGCTAGCGGCAGCGCTGCCAGACTAAGACAATGCATGCACAGACAAAAATGTGTTTCCCCACCTATCTAAATGTAGGGGAGACCGTGAATAACCCCTATTTCAAAAGACGGTGGCGTGTTCCTTTAAGATTCAAGTCAAAAAATAAATAAAAAAAAAGTCAAAATAATAAATAAAATGAGACATTTAACCAAATGCACCTCAAACATGTTTTACCATTTATTTTCTTAACATTACAGACATAATATACAAATAAATCTATAAACAGACACATTTTGAATTCAGATAAATGTTACTTCATTAAAAAGTATGAAAAATATATCAACATGCTTTTAATCAAGTAGGCAATATCATTTGTCATCTTTTGTTTATTTATCAGTGGCATTATAAAAAATATACACAGCTTTTTCAAAAGGATTTAAACAAAATATTATCCACAAGGTCAACTGACTGTGTAAAAAAAACTTACACTTTTCACCCAATAAACAAATTGCCAACAGCTGTCAGTAGTGCACAGTTGTGTTTTGTTAACTTTACACTTCATGTGTGGAACAGTGTGTGTTTCTGTTGGTGAAGACATTGGGATTGTAATATTGTTCATTTAATGTAGCCTGCCTTGTTGAGGTGAATGAACTATAGTTATATAGTCATATTCTCTGTCCATTACTTTCTCACAGACATTCTGCAATCCCTCTGTTTTTGGAATGTGGGCTTGGTAGTTTTCCCTCCCAAGGGTGTCTCGTTGAAGTGAACCTGTCTTAGCAAACGAATGTGCTAAAGTGCTGTTTGTCATGGCAGCAGTGGGACACCAGCAGTCGTCTGAATGGCCCAAGATCTTGCACTTGCTTGTGCATGCCCACAGACCTTGATAAACAAAAAGAAGATTATTATCAGTAGGTATAAGCTTTTTAGTCTATGAAAACAACGTAGAGGTATTAGAAATGCTTACTAGACCATGTATGTCAGCTGATATAAAAATAGGCAGTACATCTGCCTATTATCAGTCTCTCAATAAAACACATTTCTGATATAGAAAGTCTTTAAGACTGGATATTATATGCAAAGATACTTTTTTGCTACTAAATTATTATATAGTGGCAACATCTACATGCAAAAAAAATCACAACATGCTTATCCAAAAAGAAACACTTAAATAAGTGAGGAAATCATACAGTAATACAGATGCAGTGCTGAATATCTCTGTATCTAAAATACGGACGCAAACTTTACATTTGAGTTTCAGACAGGATGCAGTTATCAATTAAATACTGTCTTGTGTTCATTTAAGCTTGTAAATTGTCACACAAATTACATTTTGGGAGACATTTATCTAGAATAAAAATAATTCAATACGCTATTATACTATATTATAATAGTTTACTAATTGTTTATTTGGTTTACACAATGTTTTAGTTAAAGCATTATTATAATATTAGGTATTTGTGCACATCCCCAGTCAACTCTCTGACCCCCCTGAAAGCCATTGTGTATAATTGGCATACACATATTTAGACGCCACTGATGTTTAGGGCTACCATTTTGAACGTTGTTTTGATGATCGTCTTTTCTTGGTCCATCGCCGCTTGGATCTGAATCACTGTCATTGAAGTCGCTGTCTCCATTCCCGCTGTCCTTTCCACTGAATTGAGGGTCTCGTGCTGCTATGGTTGATGTGCCTTTCCAAATTTTTGTAAGTCTCAGAGCATCTTTACCATAACCAGGTAGAGTGGAATAATCCTATAAAAGAAATATGTATATATATATCATCATCAACAACAACAAAAAACTTTAGAATATGAACCAGATAACGATATCAGATGGAATCTCAAAGTGCAAGACACTATAGGCTATAACTTACTTCTGACTTGACTCCGCGGCTTTTGTCCTTTACATCACAGACACACGTACCATCTTCAGAACTGCAGGAAATATCACTGCCTGTCTGGATGAAGCCAGAAAAAGTTTTTTTTTTTTTTGAGTAAGGTTGAATATCAAACATGATGCCACTGTGAATTGGAATTAGTGGGTCGTTGTGGTCCGCTTTAACTCTGTCCTCATTTCCAGAATGTCTGTCTCCTTGATTATTCACCTTTCGTTTATTACAAGAAGTTGCAATGAGAATAATGGCTAAAAGTAGTAGTGTGCAGCTCCCCGCCAGTACCACAATTATAACGAGTGAATAATCCCCTTCCCGAATCTCTTCGTCAGTTCTGTGCCTGAATATATTGCGGTCACTGGGAGGAGATCCTGCAATGATCTTGAAATCGATAATGACTACTGTAGTTAGTGAAGGTCTTCCATTGTCACTGACACTTACTGTTATTCTCAAGCTCTCGTAAACTTTGTAGTTGAGTTCACGATTCAGATAAATTTCTCCGGTGGCTCTATTAATGGAGAACACAGAGGAGACGCCCTCTGAGATTCTGAATGACAATTCTGCGTTGACGCCTTCGTCCGCATCCCTAGCATGTATCTGGGTTATAACGTAACCTGAAGGTGCGTTTTTGGGTAGCATAACCTCGGCAGAACTATTACTCAGCGCAGGCAGCGTGATAGAGGGAGCGTTATCATTCTGGTCAACAATTTTTAGATTGATGATTGCTCTGCCTTGGAGTGGTGGCGAGCCTCCGTCACTTCCTTGAATACGTAGCTGTAGCTGTTTGAGGACCTCGTAGTTGAAACTTTTGAGCGCATAGAGCGAGCCCGTTTCAGAATCCAGAGAGACAAAAGTTGACACCGGAGAGCCTATGATGTAGGTGTCCAGGAGCTTATAGCTGATTTTGCTGTTTTCCCCTAAGTCGGGGTCTCTGGCCAATACAGTTGTGATATATGCACCTGGTGCATTGTTCTCCACCAAGGACACTTCATAGACAGGTTTACTGAAAACAGGCGCGTTGTCATTCTCATCACTCAACCTTATAGTATATTGCTTAATTGTTCTTAAGGAAGGTGATCCCAGGTCTTCGGCAACAACCGTTAAGTTATACTCCGCAATTTTTTCTCTGTCAAGTGGAGATGTCGTTACAATCATAAAACTGTCCTCATAAGCTTGCTGGAGTTTGAAGTTACTGTGCCCATAGAGAGCACAGTGAATCTGTCCGTTTGCGCCCGAGTCCCTGTCCGCCGTGCTGATCAGAGCCACAAAGCTTTCTTTAGCTACATCCTCGGTGATGTACGCTATTTCCGCTGTGACTGAGCCAATAGTGATGTAATGTAGTGGTGTAATTGTGATTTCTGGTGCATTGTCATTCACATCCTGCACGTTAACAACAACTTTACAGATGGATGGGCTCGGATTAGGACCCAAGTCAGATGCCTGTATATCGAACTCATATGTTTTCTTGCTCTCAAAATCAATCGGACTCTCGAGCGTCAACTTCCCGGATTTTCGGTCAACGCTGAAATGTTGTCGGATCTCCAAGGGCACCTGATTTCCGAACCCATATACAACTTCCCCATTCAATCCATCGTCTGGATCAACCGCATTTAAGTCCAAAAGCAGAAACCCCACAGGCGAGTCCTCCAGTATATCAACTGAAAAATTGTTCCGGTCGAACACAGGGCTATTGTCATTGAAGTCTTTTACTTTGACGTTGATCTTTGTGGTGCTGGACCTTGATGGATTTCCTCCGTCTGTTGCGATGAGCTCCAAAACATAGAAGGCGTGTGTCTCCCTGTCGAGTTCTTTCATTAGCACCAACTCTGCATATTTAACCCCATCAGCTCTGCTCAACACTTCAATAGTAAAGTGACTGTTGACAGATATTTGGTAGCTTTGAATGTAGTTCAAACCAACGTCCTCATCCATAGCAACATCTAAAGATATTCTAGTGCCGACTGGTGTGTTTTCTGAAATTTCCAAAGTTGATTCCTTTCTAGAGAACTCAGGAGCGTGATCGTTGATGTCCTTTACTTCCACTTCAATATGAATCAATTTAAATTGCTCATTCGAGAGACTCACAACGTCGAATGCAATAAGACACTGGATCACATTCTTACATATTTTTTCTCTGTCTATTCGTTCTCCAACTGTTAGCTGTCCGTCTTTTTCTCTGAGCCTAATAAAAGATGCGTTGAACTGCTTCATCATTTTGAAATTGGTCTTAGCGTCATCTGAGGGATTTAAGCTCATGTCCTTGGCCAAGTTTCCGATGACGGTGAATAAAGCGCCCTCTTCATAAGTCTGATATTTCATGATCATTCCCACTGTTAAAGTAGACAGAAAAGGCAGTACAAAGATGATCACTGTCCACCAATGGCACAAAACTCGACTGCTAGGAGTCCCTCCCATCATGGGTTGTCATAGCCTGGTTAAAACCAGAACATTCTCAGTTGTAACTGAGTTATGGTCTGGCAAAGCGTCATAGACAAAATTATTTCCAGAGGGGCGTCACCAACGGACGTCGCGTATAGACCTAAAACCAATCAGAGCGATGAAGGAGAAAAATCTCAGAGTGTTGTTCTTTGCTCGGTTTTTAACAAAGAGGAAACGTTCAAATCACTTAAAACAGACGCGATTCGAACGAGTGAGGTTTGACGGCGGCATCCATCTTTGTAATGTAGGCTACAAAATCTGCTTCAAAATCCCAGCGCTGTCGTCATCGTGTAAAGCCGCTGTATGTAACTTCAATTGAGGAAAATATTTTAAAGCCAACAGTTGTCAAGTAAACATGTATTTTGTTTCTCTGAAGCCAGGAAGAGAAAAGCTGCCTCTCTGTGTGCACTCTGTCAGCTCTGCGTGCAGCTCGAGAAACTGCAATGGATGGGGTGGTTTATAGACCTCTTAATGCAAATGAGATAAAGTGTGACTAATCCCTGCTTAAAAAAAAGAGGTCTTTTAAAAGCCCATTAAGAAATGCCACAAAGCAGGCATTTTAGTGCCAACTATTTCCTAAGGGGGAATTTTGTTTTGAAAATAGTTTCCTAACAATTTTATAAAATTATTTAATATTGGTGCAATACCAATCATTGTCTCTTCAAACTCTTGTCTTTTGGAAAGCTTTTTATATACAATATTTTTTTCGTAGTTTCAAATGAAATAAATTCACAGTAATACTTTGCTCACATTATTTGTGCATTATACAATTTAGTTAATACATTTAAATGACAGTTGGTCAATGTAAGGCAGTTGGTTTCTGCAAGTGAAATTAGTTAACTCAAGTTTTAATTTTGTGCATTTTTACATTAAATTACTGTACAATTAACAGTAAATTATTGGCAACAGTGTTGCCAGTATTTTACTATAATAAAGCCTGGTAAGGTCTAACAGTGTAGGCCTTTGCATTAATGGTGATTAGTCAACTGTTAAATTTACGAGACGTGTCAACAGCACAGCATTTCTGTTGTGCCCTTTTCCCTTCTGGAATCTAGCCTGCTGTGCCAGGTGTAAAACTGTCCTTTTCAAATAGGATTTCTTTAACGCTTCGGGATATTTAAAGGGCTTTCTATAGGATTAGCCCATATCAAATGCTTGTGAACCCCTCGTCAGCACATGTGATAGCGGGGTATCCCAATGCGACGTCAATGGCATAATTTTGCAATGGCAGCCGGAGGGAGATGAAGTCCCAGGAGTTCTCCTGTCTGCGTTTAGACTGAACACAATAAGACAGCGCCATATGCGCGTCGCCTCCACGGGACACAATTACGGTCGTAACTCTTTTGACTAAATTAAGCTGGCCATTGAATTGCCCCTGCCGACTTAAACCCCCTTTTAAAATGCATTTAGGGAGCCTCTGAGATCGCCACGGCTAGTTAGGAGATTTTCTGGAGGTTTCCCCTTCACTGGACAACACTTATAACAGAGCCACAAAGAAACAGTTGGAATCCATCTGTCACCATTGTGCCCGAGACGCAAAATGTGAAATAATTGTGGCAATATTTTTCTCTTGCACTTGTTTGCTTATAAGATAACGTTAAGTTTGAATCTAAGTGTAGGTTAATTTGATATTTGATCATATTTAGAATAATAAAGTTTACAAGGTGAATTACATAGATGCTAACTGAAATGCCCTAAATGAATTCAAGTCAAGTTTTATAGCGCTAGAAAGAAATAGAAATAACTTAATTTAAACTTCAAACTTGAGACAAGTTCAAATTCTGCAGTAAAGCAGCAGCGAGACCATATTGTCTTTATTCAGCTCAGTTAAGTTCAGTGATTTAAGTTCATTCATTAAGAAACAAGCTCAGTTCGGATATAAGCAGCTCTGCTGAAGACAATATAGTGTTGTTGTTTTTTTAGCTTGAGTCAGGTTGATTTTATTCAGGGATGCGTTTTCCACACAACGACGTAGTCACATACATTAGGAGCATGAGTATGAAAACCATCACATGATTGGGGATAAGGTGCCTTGCTCAACGGCACCTCAGGAATAGCTATCCTGCCGGTATTGAGAATCGAACCCTCAGCCTTCGAGTTACCAGTCAGACTCTTTAATCATTAGGCCACGACTGCGCACGCATATATTTAAAAAACATCTCCATGTATAAAATACAGTTATGTACTCTTATACTAACTATTTGATCTATAAAATAATTCTCATCAAGGTTTTCTAAAAAGTCATAAAACACTTTCCAGATGGACCAAAATATATGAAGTTTGTTTTTCATTAAATAATGAGACACCCCAGGACTTTCTCATTTTTCCAAGAACAGGCAATTACATGAAAAGTGTCCAACTGTCACGGGTTGTAAGGATCACGAACACGACGATGAAGGGTAAAGGGTATTTTAATATAGCTCACAGATGATGACACTCACAGATAAACACACAAAACGTTAAGGAGACAGGACACCGGACAATGAAAACACAGGAATGTGTGTATACAGATGATGACAAGGTGAACACAGCTGAACAGAATGACAAATCATATTAGTAACCATGGAGACAAACAAGAGCGGGAGCTGAACAAAGGAAGACAGGAACCAATGAATACTAATTAAAAGTCCTTGAAAGTGAAACTAAGAACAAACATAACTAAATATCTCTGACACCAGCAAACAAAGAAATAACAACAATCATTCATGGTCATTACATATATATATATATATATATAAAAAAGCTCTCTTTATTTATATTGAGTTGTGTGTAACTTTACCATACACAGCAGTGACAGATCAGGGCCCGTATTCCTAAAGAATCTTAATGTAAAAAGTAGCTCCTAGTGACAAAATTCTAAGAAAATTCTTAGAAATGTGGGCGTTTACTCTTAAAATTAAAGAAAAAATCCTAGTAAAGAAAAAAGTAATTCAGAAAGCATCTTAACCCTTAATTAAAAGAGGTCTTAAGGTCAAAATTGTTAGGAGTATGGATGAGGACTTTTAAGAGGCTTAAGAGTTTCTTTAGCAGAGGAGAAAATGACAGAACGATGAAGAGGGAGAAGAAATGTGATGCAGACAATAGATGACGACAGTGAGTTAATAAGACGCTATAGATGAGATTGTGCAGTGATCATGTTTGTGACTGATCTTATTAGAGACACGCTAATATCTCCGACACAGCGCAGGAATGCCATAACGCCAGAAATGATCACTACATTAAGATATTTGGCAAATGGGAAAATGCAATAAAGCAATAGTGATTTGGGTCTGTGACAACCTTCTGTAAGCAGTGATCACACAAACATTACAGCACTTTCAGAACCTCTTATTGTGTCGCAGTTCATTTAGTTTCCACTGGACATTCCCACCTTGCAGGCTCAAAAAACTGTATTTATGAATATAGGAGGCTTCCCTGGTGCGCACAAGCAGGGGAATGAACCGTTAATAATGTGCGCTATAAGCTCCCACGTCCGCTTCTCGCTCCATGCTGTGACACCCTGCCCGAATTTTCCTTTAAGGACGGCCTAGTGTTCATCCACTAACTCGGCTAACAGTAAACACGGTTCTTCTGACCAGTCAGGCTTTCTCGTCTTTCTTGTTTTTTAATCCATGTTTTCAAAACAAACATTCAAACCACCACTTAAATAGACAGCAATCAGTGTAATTGGAAAGAGTGGAACAATTTTTATCATTCTAAGCCAATCAAATTAACAGCAAGGTAAAAAAAAGGATTTATATACATAAAAATAATGTGCGTGTGTGTGTGTGCGTGTGTGAGTAAACTCTATACTTAAAATGGCTCTTTTTTTTCCTTCTTGGACAACCAACCAATCACAGTCTTCAAAAGATTGTGTCATACATAGCAACGGGGTCAGCCCCGCCTCCTCACTAAGATGAGAGTTTTTGTCTTTTCCTTACTCAGAGTTGCTCTCAGATCGGTCCCGAATCACTCTTAAGCTAAGACTCCTACGTAAAAGTTTTTAAGCTAAATTAAGAGTTTTCTAAAAGGATTCTTAGATTCTTTAGGAATACGGGCCCAGATCATTTTACTGACTTGATTTGATTACTTAGAATTTTGCATAATATTTAATTACAGTCATGTTTACATATAGTGAGAAATAATATTAATCTATAACTAAATAACTACAAATTAACATGTAAAATAAATGTTAAATTGACTTTTATAACTTTTATAAATTGAGCAGGCATGAGAATATTACAGATAATATAAGTTGATTTGTGTTAGGCCCATCTGTAAGATTAAGCAGCAGAATGTTTTGTTTTGTTATCAATTTGTTTTGTGTTATAGGTGTCAAGTTTACAGATGCAGAAGAGTGCCTATATTAAAAGTGTGTTATGTCATCACTGCTGATTACCACACTACAATAAATGATTACGTGTCAAATTAATAAATTCATTTAATAATTGTAGTTCCCATGTAGAGATTGCAGATCGATACATGACCCAGTAAAAATGCCTTCCAATAATCCTGAAAAAAGGTTAAAGGATTAGTTCACCCACAATAAACATTTTGTCATCATTTGATCGCCCCCATGTTGTTCTTTCTTTCTTCTGTTGAACATAAAAGATGTTTTGAAGAATTTTTGTAACCAAACCATTTGTGCACATCGTTCCCATATATATAAATGGGGAAAAAAAACAATGAGACATTTCTCAGAATATCTTATCTTTTTTATGTTCAACAGACAAAAAAAAACATATTTGGAATGACGTGAGAATTTAACTACATAAAGATAATCAGTCGCTATAAGGTGAAGAACAAGGGAGAAAGCACACAACCCTGACTGGTTCCCCTGTAAAGTCTGAATGGGGCAGATTTCATTCCAATTGTTAGTTTCTCATCTGAAGTGTTAGCATTCAGGATCTAGACCCATTTCATAAACTTTTCCCAAAATCCCATCCTCTAT